TCTATTGGACATATCTCTATAAGACAATATTGAAGTCTTTTGTATATGTACAACACCGTTATATATACATATATAAGACATTTGATATTCTATATTACTTGGAAGCCCTTCCATAGATTTTCTGTTCATGAAAGACTATCTTCTTACGAATTTTATAACAAGAATTACATTTTTTATGGCGATGATTAAAAAATAAACATTGTATTCGGCTTACAACGAAACCCCAATCTCAGTTGATGTAAACACACAAAATTTGTTGGCATATTATGAAGAGCCCTTCTATTCGGAATAAAAACCTCAAAAAACAGTTCATTAAATATGCCAATCACATGCACCTGACAAAGGAGAAAAACAAATTTAAACAAAAATATGCCGACACGACAGAAAAAACCCTCAAGAATGACAAAAAAAGAACAACTTTAATCTCCACTCTGACAGACACGAAAGAACTTTTTTTTTGGCACTAAACAAAAGATTTTATGGCCATTAAAAAAACAACAGCAACAACAACGACATAAAAACAGAATTAACCGAAAAAAAACTGAAGGTTGCAAATTTAAGTTCTTCTTAACGGAGGAAAGACGCTATGACTTTTGGGAAAATCCGAAAGGCAGCAATGTATGGGGTATTGTATAATGGGTTAATGTTTTTTGTGATTGTTATTTGTTTTTTTTTTTCTCTTGTTAATAAACAACAACAAAAGAAGACACATCAAAGAACATTGACTCCATGGAATGGCAATGTTATTGATTGTAAAGTTGATAATTCTTTATGACTTTCAATGAATACAAATAGTTTTTTTGGATTTGAATGGATCAGATTGACTTCGAGGCCATATAAATTTAAACAAGTTAAGAAGAAAAAAAACTTTGGTTTTTGGTTGATCATCCTGTCACAAACAAAGTACACACATTTTAATATATAGTGAAAAAATAAAAAAAACAACATACCTTTACAGTAATGGAACCGCTGGTATTGGAATAAAAAAAATAAATACAAAATTTAGCGACACTAACACAAATAAATGTATTTGTAAATTATCGTTAGTTTAAACAAGGTAATTCGGTATTGCTTGATCGTGTTGGATATGAATGGACCAATGGGGCCATCGACGGTCTACGGATCATATCTCACAATTTTCAAAAATTTGACACTTTGCAAATTGATCTAGATCTGGTCTAGGCAAAAATATTACGATGTGTCAAGTTTGGATGAAATTGGATGTTAATTTTTTATATATTATTTTCCAAATTTTTAAAATTCGATGAGGCAAATTTTTATCGTAGCAAAGTCATTACCCATAAGGCTGAGGGTATAAAAGGAAGTCCTTGGGTACCAAGCCAGGACTGTACGGTGAATATGCGGTGATTTGAGTCGTATTCTCATAAATTTTCCCCGAAGACGGTCGCCACTTGACCAGTTTTGCCGAAAAACAGTCTGCCATTTGCTTAGAAGAGATATTTCCACTATCAAATTTTCATTGGATTCGATAGCGTTTTTATTTCAGTATCTTTTGCAAAGATCCGCCATTCGTCATGTGCGACGATTATACCCACACCTTTTTATGTAGCGCAATCGTATTATTCCATCCACTATAAGGTTGAGTTTATATTAAATTCGTCATTCCGTTTGCAACACATCGAAATAATCACCGGACCCCATAAAGTATATATATTCTCGACAGAATAAAATTCTATGCCGATTTATGGCTGTCTGTCACTCTGTTGAAATCAGTATAGAGATCACAATATTTAAGATAGAGCTTTGAAATTTTTTACAGACAATGCTAGTACTCTTAGGATGTTTGGTATTGCTAATGGGATATACGGTCAACGTTTTGGTGTAGTCCCTATATTATGAAACCCCCTCCCCACCACCAAAAAATCTGTATTTTAGGCATTTTGGAAATGTTGTTCAACCAAATTGGCTGTAATTTGGTATTTTGGGTTCTCCCTACCAAAAATTATTAATATTGACCTAAGGTTCTGGGTAGAGCCCATATAACGGTGCCCCCTCTATTAGGTATTTTGGATAAGTTTCTCAACCGTATTGGGTGTATTTTGGCATTTTGGCTTCTCATTCCTTGTACCAAAAATTAATAATATTGACCTAATATCTCCGTACTTAAAATTGACCCAAGTCGGTATTTTGTACACGTTTTTCTCATTGGCTGTCAAATCTCACTACCAAAAATTATTAATATCGATCCCCTTTTTGGTATAGCCCCATACAAAGGTAGACCCACTTTTAGGATTTTGAGAATTAAAATTATCCTTTTCTCACGTCTCTTTCGGTTTGTTCAAGGTCCTCTCATAACATAAGTTTTCTTCTAGGGGTCCCCATGAATTTTAGATATTTTGAACGGCATCCTCATTATAGGGACATAGCGTCCAAGATCTATTAATCAAGTCAGCCAGCTAGCGAAAGTCAGCTGTTGATTCTCAAGACTAACGTCAAAAATGTTGACTTTATTTACGTTCTCATAGTGGAAGTCTATTCACAATAATGGATTTTGACAGCAAACGTGAGAGGCAGCTCATATACAGCTGGTCTGCCTGGATGACCTTATTAATAGACCTTGATAGAGTCCAAATAATATCTAGGGACAAGTAAATCGACTTTTTGTATTGTAAAGTCAAATAGTCGAAGTCGAGTTTTGATCTTTGAGAAAATCGCAAAGTCGACTTCTCAATATCGACTTTCGATTTTTTTTTTTCAAAAAAACTCAAACTCCCAATGCTCAAAAATTACACATTCCAAAACTATGTCCTAATTTAGATTAGGCGAGTTTACTTGCCGCAAGTCTTTGTTTGCTGGAGAGAGGGGCAAGGGGAATAGAAATGGAAAAAAAAATTGCTCGTACCGACAATTTTCTTGCAATTCGTTTTGTGTATTTGGTTTGTAGTGTCATTTCAGAAAAAAATAATTCAATTCAGAAAATATAGTCCCAATTTAGATTAGGCGAGTTTACTTGCGGCAAGTCTTTGACTTTAGGAGAGAGGGGCAAGGGGAATAGAAATGGAAAAAAATTGCTCGTACCGACAATTTTCTGTCAATTCGTTTTGTGTATTCGTATTTGTTGACATTTTATATTTATTTAAATGTGAAAAAAAGCTATTGACATCAAATGAAAACAGAAATATTATTGAAACCGAATTGCCTTGTATAGACGCATGAAGCAAGTTCAAAAGGGAACGATAATAATTGCCGCAAGTAAACTCGCCTAATATAAATCAGGACATATGTTTGCAACCGAATTGCCTTGTATAGACGCATGAAGCAAGTTCAAAAGAGAACGATAAGAATTGTCGCAAGTATAATCGACTAATATCATGGTATAATAATAGAAGGTAACAGCAAGTGTTGTTGTACAAAAAACGATACAACAACCACATGGAAATTTGTTGTTGTAAGTTATACTAGTGTCAACTCATTTGACAGAAAAATTTAAAAAAACAAACAAATTATCATCAAATTATTTTTATTTTGAAAATGAAATATTTTCGAATCTTCAAAATAAAAATTGAAAAACATGAATGAAAATCTATCAAATTTATATTTCTATCGCTTCCACATCTTTCTATAATTGAGCCATTGCCATATATGTGTGTATCACATATGAAAATGCTGGGAATAGCGAGTTATTCCTTGAAGAAAGATTTGCTTCCTCAAACTTTCCCAGCAGGCAGATTGAGTAAATTGAATACATGAGCACATTTAATAAAGAACAAATTCAAATTGTATGCGTTCCCAATTTTCCTATTGTGTGGTTTTTTAAAACATAATTTGTCAAATTCATATTGACACTAGTATTACGTTGGAATTAAATCAGCTGGGATTTGCTGTTACCTTTTATAATTGTACCATGACAATGACTATAAAAATTAAATTTTAGTTGATTTTGCATTAGTCGGTAAAAGTCCAAAATCGATTTTGAACAGATTTGATAAAATCGACATATCGAAAAGTCGGTTTTTTAGTCGAAGTCTAAAAATCGACTTTTTGGTCAGAGACAAAAATCGAAAAAACTAAAAGTCGAATTTTGCACTCGGCTATGTATCCCTAATAAAGTCCTCGCCCTATTTTCGCTATTTTGAAGGTCTTTAGTCTATAAGGTCCCTTACCATTTTCGGTATTTTGAAGGTCTTGACCGCAATTTCTCACCGTAGTGTGGCTATAATATGAAATTTCGAAATCTTGGAGGTTGATAAACATCTCTGCAAAAAATTTTCAATATATAACGATGTTTTGGTATACCTTTTACATCATTTTCTACATCATTTTGAGGGTATTGCCCGCAATTTCCCACAGATGGTGCTGTTATGTATCATACCGTGATCTTGTAGAATTCGCCGGTTTTGCACGCAATTATTCGTCGAAGTGGATTTAATTTGGTGTTTTTATTTGCAAAAATTCATTTGCATATTTTGGTATTGTTCCAGCATCGTATCCAGTTAAGTCTTGAGCACACAATATATTTCAGATGATTAAATTAAAACGGGTACAAAAATTAGGTTTATTATGTTTAAATTCGGTTCCAAAAAAAATATATAAATCCGTATATGTCTTTAGCGAAGGTCTTTGGCACAAAACTTTTAGATCAAAAACTTATAGATCTCAATATGTCTCCCGTGAATAAATGTTATTAGCCCATTTATTACAATAAGCTAAATTTATGATTAACATTACAGATGAATCCGACAGTTAGTTATTCGTAGTGTAACTACGAAATCGTAATAGTGTAACTATCGAAAATCTACCTTTTTATAATATTTGAAGCTCAATGGTATTTAGTATACTGTCTTATGGTATTTACTATACTGTTAAAAAATAAACACGAAAAAAATGCAAAATGACTCGAGATACAAGGTGGATATGTTTTACAAAAATGTTCCTCATCCGATTTAACCAAACAAATGTGATCTCAAAAATAACCTAATATGTTTATATCTTTTCATTACAGGTTTTTTCAACAACAAAAAAATACTTTTAGACTAAGGGGTTTTTTTCAAAGCACAATGAAGAGAGCTAAACGATGGAGTTTAATAGCAGCCGGTAAGTCAAGTGACAAATAACCTAACCTGTCAATATCAAACAAAAAACAAAAACGATCGACACCTACTACCAATATTTAACCTTGTCTATGAAAATAAAAAAAATACAACAAAAACAAACACTTGAAACTAGGAAAACAACTAAAAAGCCAAAATATCAAGTTCATTATCACCATGCATGATCATCTTGATCTGCAGCTTATGAAATCATTTTAAACTTTACAAAATTATTTTTTATTTCTTACTTCGTTTTCATTGTCAAGGTTTTTCCATTCCAATGATTATTGATTTATTGTTTCCGATTCTTGTTCTTCTTCGTGTTCTCCTTTGCAGCTCTCTTAGCCTTTGCCATAGCCCAACACGTTGATGCTGTTGCGCCATTCAAAAAAGTGTCCATTGCCCCCAAAACAACATCAACAACAACGCCCACAACACCAGCGGCAGCCGGTGCCGAAACGAGTGCCGATGAATCTTCAACGGCGGGCGAGGAGAAAGTGGAAGAACACAAGGTAAGTGAAATTAATGAATGAATGAGTTAAAAAAATGTTTTTTTTTTCTATTTCATTTCTTGAAATGAAAAGTGTTTTAATTTTTTGTCAATGTTTTTCCAATTTGGGTTTTCTATTTACGAAGAGCCCATTAGCCGCTTAAAAACTTTTTTTATGCATTTGGTTTATTAATTTGTGGATATATACCCCTCCTCCCACACATTAGACTTATTGTGTTCCACTTGCATAGTTAACCTTTTATGGTAGACCTTTTGGTTTCAAATTTTGTTGATGGTCGGTGGAGGTAAGGCCGATAGAGGCGAAAGTACTTTTTTTTTTTAGATTTAAAAATCCAATCACGTTCCTCTTGAAAAGAATTACTCAAAGTTTCTATAATTCTATTTATTTATTTCTGTGGTTAACCAGAGGCTATTAACCTCCTGACCACATGTGGGACAAACTTTAGAAAAATTTTTTTTTTCATTTGTGGGAATATTTGAAATTATGTATATAAAGAAAGTGGGTAGATGTTCGAAAATCTTAAGTCATACAATGTTAGCTATGGAATATCCTATTGTTTGACTGATTTAACGATTCGTCAACGCACAGACGAAACGGAATCTTGAAATTTGAACTAAGGGTCACTCTTGGTCCGAAGTTTGTCAGGTACGATTCTTCAACGCCCAGACGAAACGGTTGAAGATAGAATCTTGAAATTTGAACTAAGGGTCACTCTTGGTCCGAAGTTTGTCAGGTAAGGCTTGGTTTTTGGAAATTCATACTAGAATGGCACGAAAAGTACTAAATATATTACAATTTGTTTTTGGCGAACCAATAGAGCTAGAACTCTTAAATTTGAAATTAGCGTCACTGGACGGAGATGTGGCAAAGGATTTTTGGGACATTTGAACTATAAGTATACAGAAGGTACTAAAATGTACTAAAGCTGGTACAATTTCGTAGCCTATGAATGGATAAAGCTAAAAACTTTGGAATGCAAATTAAGGTTGAGAAGTAGGGTCGATATAAGGAGGTGGTTTTGAAAGCGTGTACTCATGTATACCAAAAGTATTAAACTGTACTAAATTTGGTACAACTTGATTTCGGAGGAACGGATGGAACAGGAATCCTGAAATTTGAAATTAACAATACCGTCGAAGTGTATCATTAGAATATTCAGGTAGATTTGGAATATTGTACTTATGTGTACAAAAAGTACTAAATCGTACTATAATTGGTACAATTTAGATTTGTTTGAACCGATAGAGCTGGAACACTGAAATTTGGAAATATGGTTACTGTTGGAGGGTAGGGGTATGGATGTAGTTTTGGAAGGTACTAAATTTGGTACAATTTGAATTTTGGAAGAACCGATAGAGCAGGAATCCTGAAATTTGAAGATAGGATCATTGTTGTGGTATAGGATTGGGATATGCAGGAAATTTTGGAAATTCATGAACCGATAAGCTGCAACACTGAATTTTGGAAATAAGGTGTTACTGTTGGAGCGTAGGATTGAGGTATGGATGTAGTTTTGAAAATTCATACTTATGGGTTAGTACCCATGGTACTAAAATTTGGTACAATTTGAATTTTGTTTGAATCCGAAAAGAGTTGGGTTCCCTGTAATTTGGCGTTAAAGTGTAAAATACGTATTCACAGAAAATATTCAATATGATGGGTGCACAAACCTCAATGTAGGTCCATGTTTCGACATATACCACCCATTTAAATATCCCCCTTCATTAGTATTGTGGTCCTAGGCGTTTTATTCAAACTAGCTGGTTTTCATTTTGCATTTTAGGTTCTTGGAAGCTAAAAAACTTTTTTGAAAAATCTTCTAAAATAGGTAAAAAATCACTCCCCAATATTCGCATGGACCTAAACGTTTTGTCCTACTGAAGTGGTTATAATTTGGCTTACCAGGTTCGTGTTGTGGAAAAAATGATTTGCCGCAATAAAAAGGTACCGTCTATTCAACCGGAGGGGCTGTTTTATGGCATTCCGGGTTCGTGGAGGGTAAAAAACTTCTTCGCAGATAATGTTAAGTATAAGTCCATGTTTAGAAATTGACATTTTGAATATTTGAAATTCCGTTGAAGGTCCTAGCCCATTTTTGCAACCATAGTTTTTCTTATATGGTATATCCTCTGAACGAGGACTATTATATATATTTCCGGACTAGTCTTATATACAGTACACTATATATATGTACATGCTGGCACAATCGTGCCGGTTATTGCAAAGACATTTTAAAAAATACAATCACCGTACTTCAATAACTTGTATAAGATCGTCAGAGGTTCATGCATATGACCCTGGAACCAAACAATAATCTACGGTATGTGCCAGGAAAGACGAGCCTTCTTGAAGCACTTCCACCCAAAATTAAAGAATACTCTCAAGCCTCTAGACAAATTTCTGACGCCCAAGGCGTCATCTCCATCGTTCTATTCACTGCTCTTCGGCGTGAATCCCCGAATTGCCCGACCTGTACCCATCAATAAAAAAAATAAACTCGAATATTCCAAAGAAGTAACAGTGACAACGGCCGCTCCAGCCACTGCCGCCTCCGAATGTCAGTATGAGTTATAGTGATGTGAGGCCACGTCGTGGTCACAATAAAAAATTTATCGTCGATGATGTTTTCGACGATAAGGACGAAGATGAGCTACCACCAAGAAGAGCTAGTCGTAAGCCAACCCAAACTCTAAGGAAACCTACTGTAGCCAATAGGAAAACCATTGACGACGACTTGGAATACTTTGTTCGTTACGGCGCAATTCGTTGAACGCTCGCAAATAATCGACAATTTGTTTGCCTAAAGTGTTGGGTTAAAAAAAAAACGAACAAGAAGTATTTTGACTGACGAAAACGTGAAATTGATAGGTCGTCCGCAGACAAATCTGATTTGGCGCCCAACCACCACACCTGCAGGTTCAACACTGTGCCTTTTTTACCCGCAAAAATGTGGAAGTGATAGAATTTCCAACACAAAGTCATTTGGCGCCCAATCATTTCTTTTTTATTTCCACATTCAAGAACCTTTTAACTCACGAAAACGTGAAAATGATGTATCATCCGCATACAACCCTGATTTGGCGCCCAACCATCACACATAGGCTCAATACTTTGCCTTTTTGACCTCCAAAAAGGTGGAACTGATAGGATTTCCGACGCAAAGTCATTATAATAATTTATATTTTTATTCCCACATTCAATAACCTTTTCAGCTGACGAAAATGTGAACTTGATGGGTCATCCGTCATACAATTCTAATTTGGCGCCCAACCACAACAAAGTCATAATATGGCGCCCAATCATTTCTTCTTCAAACCCGCATTCAAAGATTTTTCTCAAAAAAACGATATTTTGGGAGTTTTATGAATTGGAGTGGAAAAGAGATGTGATAATAGGTTTGAGCGCATGAAAAAGTGTATAAATTAGGCTGGAGAAAACTTAAGAAGAACCATAAATATTCGCATTTTCTTTTTAAGGCATTTTTAATATTACGCCAGAAATAGATATAGTTGCCCTCATATTCAATATTAATTTTATTATTTTATGTTTCTCTTTTTCTTTTCAGAACGATGCCACACCCAAACCCAATTCCCGAGAATCCAAACTGACGGGTATACCACAAATCGATTACATTTGGGATCCAAATTTACCCAGAGAATTGAGAGGGTAACAAAACTACCACAGCTTCTTATTAGAATATTTCATTGCAATTTGTTTTGAACACCACTTTTTTATTTTTTTATTTCTTCTTAAATTATAGCTACAACCTATCCTCATATCCATTCCTGTCAACGACCCCAGCCGATGAAGATATCCATTTCAAGTGTGATGGCCTGCATGATGGTTTCTATGCATCCATTGAATATAAATGTCAGGTAAATTAAAATTGTCTTCAAAATTCAAATGAGTTTCGGAAATGTGAGATGTGCCTTCATTTTAATAATTAAAAAGTAAAATTTGGGAACAAATAGTATCCCCATACCTTTAAGCAGAACCATTAAAAATGAGGTTTAAAATAATTTGTACTGTATTCAACACATTGTATCGTGATCGCTTAACGAAAAAATGTATACCACACTGACACCCATGACCTTGACCCATTAATGTTTATTTTTTTTTATAGAAAACTATAATCATTTTGGAAAATTGGGAATTTGTTACAAAAAGAGAAAAAAAAAACAATTACAACTCCCAAAATGCATTCCGTTGTGGTAAATACTGAAGTTTTTTTTTTGTATGGTTTCCATTACCCCTTTACCTTGAAAAGACAATTGTGTAGCTTGTGCTGTTATTGTAATTTGCTGATCTTGACCCACAAACAAAAATTGAAACATAATACGCTGCTGCCTTTATTGTTCGCAGCTGCCAAAAAAAGCCAACATTTTTTGTTTGCTTTGCCACTAATACCGGTTTCTTTTTTCGGAGGGTTTTTGGACAAACTGAAATTAAGTAATTATGTGTGTGAGAGTGTTTTTTGTGTCTATTAATGCCGAATGTAAGGTTTGCCAGCTTACGGTTGCACACCTCGAAAAATACTCTAAGAAAAAGTCTTTCAAAGGTCGTAGCTCTTAGAAGACCTAAAAGGATATTCTTTTCACGGAAGAGCTTTAGAAGTTATCTTTCCATAGAAAGACCTTCTTTACTTAGAAAACCTCTAAAGAAATTCTGTACATTAAAGATCTTCAAAGCTTTTAGTTGTACTCCTCCCCACAGGAAGATTTGTAACGGCCTCTCTACATAAAAGACCTTCAAAGGTCTTCCCTACAAAGAAGACCTCCTACGTAGTTATCTACATAGACCTCCTAGGTAGTTATCTTAATAGAAATGAAATCCAACGGTCTTTTCTGCATAGTAGACCTTCAAAGGGCTTGTATACCCTGAATATATTCAAAGCTATTGTCACTACGCCATAGAAGAACTCTAACTGTTCTCTCTGCTTAGAAGACCTCAGGAGGTAATCTCCACATAAAATACCTTCTACGATATTCTCCACACAGAAGACCTGCCAAAGCCTTCTCTAATAGAAACACCGTCAAAGACTTTCTCTACATAGGAGATCCCGATAGATCTTCTCAGGGAAAAAAATACCTCCAAAGGCCTTCAATACATCTAAGACCCCAAAACTGTTTTTTGAAGACCTCCAAAGGTATTTTCTCTATAGAAGACCTCCGAAACCATTTTCCACATATACAAAACCACAGTCTTAGAAGCCTTCGAGGTAATGATGACAACTATGAGGATGAGGAATATTATGTAAGGCCTCGAATCACAATAAAAAACGTATCGTTGATGAGGACGAAAACGAACCAAGAAGTGGTAGTTCTCCGAAGCCAACCCGAACTTTTAAGGAAACAAAGTGTCATCGATAAGAAAATCATTGATGTCGAAGAGGAATTCGATGATAATTACAGTCAGTGTTACCGCTGGGAATTTTAAAAAAGTTGCAAAAAATCGTTCACTTGAAAAAAAAAAGTTACACAGAAAAATAAATTTGCCAATAGAACTCTTCCCAGAATATGTCAGATACACTTGGAACTCAAAAAGGACGCATACGAATCAAAATTAGTTTGAATGCTTAAAAAGTTGCAAACAGAGTCACAGGGCATCAAAAAGTTTGCAATTTGCGACTTTAGTCGCACAACGGTAACCCTGGTTACAGTGGGCGCAGCAATCGTCGTCATCGTAATTCGTCGAACGGTTGTAAACGTGGTCATGTACCATCTCAAGTTGATGACTACGATGAACGCCTAATGGAGACACGGTCACGATCACGGACCTCTGCACGTAAGGATACCTAAAAAGCAAGAATGTCCGATCCCTCTGAAGAAATAGAAGATGAGGAATAAATAGAACCAGAGCCCGTGAAGACACCCAATTAATGTCGAACCAGCTTAGCTGACAGCAGAGGTAAACCAGGAGCATTGCGTTCCCATAAAGAATCTGCTAAAGCTAAGACACTCACAACCAAAGACGCTGAAGATTCGGAAGCTGTAGATGCCGACGTCGATGGCCCTACTGCTGAGGAATCTGAAAAAGCAATTCTAACAACCAGTCGGTTGGTCCTTCTTTGGTCGATTCTATATAGGATTTGCCTACAATTTACCTCCTAAGGTCTTCCATATATTTAAGACCTCAAAACTTATTTTTCGACATAGAAGACTCCTAAGGGATTTCTCTACAATCCAAGGATTTTTTCTACAAAGAAGGCCCCCAAAAGTTCTCTCTACAAAGAAGATCTGCAGATGCTTTCTTCACAAAGAACACCTCTAAGAGTCATCTGCATCAAAAAATGCATTCACATAATTTTTCTATATAAAAATACTCCAAAGGGCACCCTCTTTATAAAATGCCTTAAAATACCCTATCCTACCATTTTTTTTCAAATACTTATTTGTGTATGTCGTTTCAGCTCTATCATCACTGCGTCTATGGCATTCGACACGATTTCCTTTGCGCCAATTTCACAGCATTCGATCAGAAAACATTCATCTGTCACTTTGCCTCCGATGTCGATTGTGAAGGTTCGGTAAAATATTGGAACCGAAATGACGATTTGTATATGGCAACGACGACAACTTCGACGACTACAACAACTACGGAGCCACCACCAACACAACGCCGAAAACAAGTTAGACCATTGAGGCCATTACGTAGACCTGGCAGTCGTCGTCCCGTCGATGATTATTACGATGAAGAGGAATACGATGAGGATTACTATGAGGAACGTTTAAATAAACGTCGTAAGAATCGTCCACGTCATCGTCGTCCCATTGTCGAATATGAGGATGAAGACTATGAGGATGAAAAACGTTCACTGGCAGATGAGAAGCCAAGGTGAACATTAAGACAATCCTTTTTGAAATGCAAAAATTGAATATAATTCTGTTTTTTTTTATTTCAGACGCCCAAATACACGTAAACGTTTCCAGGACGAAGTTGATGCTGAAGATGATTACGATTTCGACAAACCCAAACCAAAGACCCGTGGTAAACCAACACCCGCCGCCGAAAGACGTAAGATAAGCAGTCGTAAACCCGGAAGCTTTTCGGGACGTGCCAATGCCGACGAGAGACGCAGCTTCAGTGATGATCGTCCAGTTTTGGGAGGTCGTCGAAAAGCCACCCCTGTCGTTGTAGACGATGTTGATGAAACGGAAGAGCAACCTGCACCACCACCACGTCGTCAAACTGGCCGCAGACGTATCAATGAGAAACGTACTTCAACCACAGCAGCCCCCAGGGATGAAGTCGACGATTTGGATGAATATGAAAAACCTGACTCCCTCATTCCCGATCAAGAAGAAGCCGCAGCCGACGAAGATGCTCCACCAAAAGTGAGAACCACTCCCAAACCCCTAGAGGAATTTATAACACCAAAGGCAGCACCCTCTTCGGTTTATTCCCGCCCAAGAGCACCTCCACGAATTGCCCGACCTGTACCCATCAATGAAAAGAGTAAATTCAAATATCCCGTACAGAAAACAGCAACAACAGCCTCTCCAGCCAATGCCGCCTCCGAGGGTGACGATGACTACTATGAAGATGAGGAATATGATGTAAGGCCACGTCGTGGTCACAATAAGAAACGTATCGTCGATGATGTGTCCGTTGATGAGGATGAAGATGACGTACCACCAAGAAGAGGTAGTGCTCGTAAGCCAACCCGAACTCTAAGAAAACCAACTGTCGCCGATAAGAAACCTATTGACGACGAAGAGGAATACGATGATCGCTACAGTGGCCGCGGTAATGGCCGTCGACGCAATTCTTTGAACGGTCGTAAACGTGGTCGTGTACCACCTCAAGACGATGTCGATTTTGTAGATGACGATTACGAGGAACGTCCAGCTGGTAAACGGTCACGACCACAAACCTCCGCACGTAAGGGAGCCAAAAAGCCAAGAATACCCGATCCCTCCGAAGAAATTGAAGATGAGGAAGAAATTGAACCAGAGCCCGTGAAGGCACCCATTAAAAGTCGGACCAGCTTAGCAGCTGCCAGCAGACGTAAACCAGGAGCAATTCGTTCCCGTAATGCACCCGCCAAAGCCGAGCCACTCACAACCAAAGACACTGAAGATTCGGATGCTGTAGATACCGAAGTCGATGCCCCTACTGCTGAGGAATCTGAAACACCAAATAAATCAAATCTACCAACCAGTCGGCCCGCCTCGGTACGTGTTGTTAAACGACCATTCCTACCATCACGTGGTGGCAGTCCATACCTACCAAGGGGCCTACAACCCGTTGGCTCCGCCCACAAACAACAGCCACAACAGCAAGTGACGTTGGTGGAATCGCACACCACTGACAGCAGTGCTGCGGACATCTTATCCACCATGTCCGGAGTGCATTTGCTGGAGCACGGTGCTCCGTTGTTGCGTGATTCCGGGTCACGTACGACATTGCCACCACGTAGCATGTTGCCATCATCCGTTAGCTCTCAGTCACGTCAGCCCGAGTCATCGGTGTCATCGAGCAAGGCCACCTTGGATGAGCTCTACGAAAATGATTACGATGTGACGCTTAACGACGCTTTAAATCCAACGCTTAAACCGCTTTCGCCGCATCAATCTTCCCACTATAATCTGCATCATCAGCAACCACAACAACAACAACTACAACAACCACAGCATTCTCATCTCGACAATAACGCCAATAATCGTCCGTATCAGAGTTATTATGCTCAGACCTCAGCACACCATTCATTGCCATTGACCGATCCATTTGTATATAAGAATCGTGAATTGGCATCGAGAAATTCATTAAATTCACCATCCACCTCTTCTTCTTCTTCCGCTTCCTCTGCCACATCTAATGCCCATTCTTCTTCTCCATATCAATATTCGTATCAGCAAAATTCAAATCTAAATCAGGCCTCATCATCATCATCGCATGACCATGACCATCCTTATGAATCGCATGCAAATCATAATCAAGCTTCTCTCCATACCAACAGCCACACCAACAACAACAACCACAACAATAATAATAACTACAATAGTGATTCGAATTTCTCCTCAACAGATATCCGCCGGCGAACGATCATCACGGCGCCGGTCGCGCAATCCAATCGCCAAACCGGAAGTGGAGCCCGAAGAGAAATAGCCCCACCTCCCGCAGCAGCTGACTATTACGAAGAAGAATATGATTATTAAAAAAATCGAGGAATGGGCATAGATAGCTATTGTCAATGCCCTTCTGCTCTCTGAATGGATGGGAGGAAATTGGCTGGGTGGGAGATCGGCAAATCATGTGATCTCCATAAAGTAAGTAGAATTATATCTGGGTTTTCAGAGTTTTCTGATTACACAGTAATTGGACGTTAGGGATCCGGAAGTTCTTACAGGCTTTTTTGGTCTGTATTTCATCGCCAGGTGGTACAATATTCTCTCTAGCTTTCTTAAAACGAATCGGGTTTTCGGATTCGATTTCATTCTAATCTATTTTATTTACCGAAGTGGCAATAATTTAGGGTTATTGGTGTCAGATTTGACCCACATACGTGTCTAGGCCTAGTTTCTAAATGTCCATCTCATGGTGAAGGCTTGGTCGATTTTAGAATTTCATTTTTGTCCATCCTATCAGGTTCCGACTCTCTGACAATAATTAATATTTAAAGCATCTAACAAAATTTTCAACCATCTGCACCTTTGATATCAGTATTTATACCCTATAGCACACTGTGGTGGAAAACAGTGTGCTATAGGGTATAAAAACTTCCCGTCTAGGCTACGGTTCGCATGCAACATATGCCCTTGTGCAATTTGACAAGAGACCGATCTATCTACAATTTCAAAATAACATTGAATATATTTGGGCATATCTATAATAATTATAAATTTACAACAATAATGAACCAAGTTGCTTATTATTATAATTTTTTTTCTTATTTACAGGCAATTTCCTCCTAAAACATTTTTTTGTAAATATATCTGTAATAATAATAATAATAATAAAAACAACAAAATAATACACACAACAACTAAACAAACAAAAGCTCAACACTTCATTGAAAATATAAATCCGACATCTAAAGGCCAAGTATTTATTTGGTGTATAGGACCTGTATAGATGGCAAATAATTAAATATACGGAAATTTATGTGTGTGCAAGACTACAATGGAAATCTTGGCAATGGACCCAAGCAATTACTGCATTGGAATCCTAAAAGGAGCAATATAATGTTGTAATGTTTAAAATTACATAATAGTGTTTCGTTTAAATGATAAGTAATCTCTACAACTATATATTCTTTTTCTTATTTTTCTCATCTCCCTCTGCTTTCTGTTTCTTATTTCTATTCTATAATTATGAATACTCAATTTTCGTGATAGTAAAAAAAAAACAAAACAAAAGTAACAAAGACAAAATTGTATTTGTCTTATTTAAATGAAATAAAATAATAAAAAAGTAACAACAACAACATGCTTAATAAAGCAAAATAGATTTACATATGTATCTAAGCGTCCTTAACGCACCCTTTTCTTATAAATATATATATATTTTTTTTGTACTTTTTCCTTTTTTTGTTTTTATTTTCTTATTTTTGATATTTTTGTTTTGTTTTATTTTCCTTCTTTCTTAAATTATATTATTTAAATTAAATGAAAAAAATATTTTCTTTTTTTACTCAAAATTATGTTAATTAAAAGTTGTATGTGTATGTATGTATGTAATTATTATAAAATTGTTTTAACTTTTTTTATCTATACATATAATTATTATACTGTGTAATTTCGAAAATTAGAAAGAAGACTTGAAAAGAAATTGTAATTATTAAATTAATAAGATAAACAATTAATAAAAATAAATCTGTGAAGAAATATGAATAAATGTTTGTGATTGTTTTTATTTTAAATTAGAATAATATAATTCTTATTTTATGAAAATAATGTTAAAAAAATTTCGGACCAATCGATCTACAATGTGGTGGGTTTCCAAAAAAAAAAATATATACCTCTATCGGAGGAGATCTTTATATGGCGTCCACGCCATTGTAAATTGAAAATAATGTTAAAAAATCGTTAAGTTCGGGTACATTTTTCATATGTAACCTAACAAAAGATACACGAACGGATAAACGAACTTACATATGTGATCTTTATCAATATGTGAACCGACTAACAACAAACCCTACACATGGCCTTCATAAGCTAAATTTTATAAGTCGATTTAAGGGGACCCCCCATTCTCGGGGTCAAACATTTTTTTGATTTTAATTGTAGAATTCCCTACAAGTGAAAATCTCAAGAACTATAGAAGATATTGGCGATTTATTGTGTCAGTATCAAGTGACGGCTAAAGGGCTTCTCAAACTTTAAACGCGTTTTTCTCTTTTGTGAATGGCGGGCACGATAACTCAAAAACTAATAACCCAATCGATTCCAAATTTTTACATGTTTCTCTGTGAGTGTATAGCTATCCTATGAACTAGTATAAAGCCAATCGGTGAAGATCTTCCTTATTTTTTAACTTGGTTTTTGGTCAAAAATCGGCGATTTTCCAAAAATATTTTTTCAAAGGTCCGCCATTTTGTTAATTTTAGAGCGAAGTCAATAATTCTAGTTCATATGAGAGCCAGCCATGTACTCTTTCTAATACCGTTGGAATTTTCGGATTCCTATGTTCCAGTGAGGAGTTATCATGCCCACCATCAAAAATAAGGACTTTTCTTTGATCACAAAAACAACAACAAAACAACAATAAAATTTGTTTGTACATTATTTTTCTTCCTTTTTAAATCTTCAAATATATATGTGCAAAGTTACAAACCTCAACAAGCATTGGTATTGATTTACCATCCCATTGAAAATCTTGAAAAATTAAAATCGAGAATGGACTCAATTCATTACGCTATACCTAATTTCGTGCAAATCGAAAGATATATAGGTACTTTGGTGCACCATTTACCTTAAATCGGACGAAAATATATATATAATAGTTATATCTAAATCTGAACTGATTTTCACGAAATTTAACACACATCACTGTAGAATTAATTTAGTACGCTATACCTAATTTTGTGCAAGTCGAAAGATACATAGGTACTTTGGTGCACCATTTACCTTAAATCGGACGAAAATATTTTCCATTTGAAAGACCATGCTTTAATAAATCATCCTCCACTTGATACTTTTATCGTATTCGTGGCCCTGATGTTCTGCATGAACCGTCAGTAGCCTCGCTTTTATATGCCTTTTGATGGCCTAGCCACCGTAGTCGTTGCAACTGCATACGTTTGACTATGTCCATGTCCGTTTATAGATGGTATAGCTTGTGGTTCCTTAGACGTCGATATTCGCCGTCAAACAGATCGGCCCGTAGATCTTTCGGAGAACTGAGAAAAACTTTCATAATATAAAAATTTTTATATGGAAAATTATCTACAAATAGGTTTTACATTCCACAGAAAGTCAAAATACAGCCTTCTCGGTTGGTATATGCAGTTTGAGTTTTGTACCTTTATAGGTGAGTAATGTATGTCTGAAATTTCAAAACCTAATCTTCGATATTGTACTCCTATTGTTATTGTCCTTGTATTATTTATTCATATTATTTACCAAAAGTATATCCTTCATCTGCGGCACGCATGCACAAGGTTCACTGTAAAGAAAAAATAAGTTAAATATGATTCGATTAAACGAATTAAAATCTCACCATCAATAGAACCTCATCCATAATGTCGTTAAAGGCACGTCTTAATTTCGATCTAGCATATGCTGCCTGTTGTGGTGTAAGGCTACTCAATTCGGCAGCTATATAATTGATAAAGGCAATGGTTGGGTTAGTTCCATGTGTTTGGTTGGACTGCATAGAACGGTCAGTCGTTATCGAATCATTAAAAATTGTATTTTTATTGTTGCAATTGGTGTTTGTTGTTCTTGTTGAACTGTTTTTATGATTAATTTGCTGTTCAACAGACGCAGGAGACCCCAAGGGCAATTCTTCACCCGATTCCACATTTTCAAAATTTGTGTTATCCCGAGATTCTTCAGTGTCGTTGCGTTTCTGCAAGGAAGAAATATGAAAAATGTTAAAGGCAAAAAAACATAGCCTGAAACTGATAAAAAATGATTAAACATAATGGATCATAAGCCAAACAACCATAGATAAATAGAAACAATTCCTCAATAATTACCCTTTTAACCATAGTTTTCGTTTGATGATTAGACATAGAGGAGTTCGACGTTGTTGTTTTCTGCCGCAATTTAATTCTCTCCAAAAACATCATTGGCTCAAAATATCTCCATTTAATCGTAGCTTCATCTTCACAACACTGGCCAGCCTTAATTTTTCGCAGCTTTTCAAAATTGGCACCGAATGTGGTGCGCAAATTAACCCATTTGCCTTTACAGTCGTTAAATGTTGTCGGTATGGCATCGGCAATTTCCTGCCATACATCGTCTTTACGTTGTTTATATTCCGGATGGTTAATATCCCATATACTACGATGCGTTTTCACTTTGTCGATTAATTTCAGAATATTTTCATGTGACCATTAAGTTTCCACTTTTTTGCGATAGGATATTTGTTTTCTTCGTTTTCGACCTGAATTATTCTCAGCTGGAGTTTCGTTATTTGTGGAATACGGGTTACGTGCTGGGACTTTTTCATCATCACTCTCATAATCATTGACAAAATCTTCAAAGGAATTTTGATCGCTGTCCATTTTATTTTAATACCTTTGTTACACGTTTTGATTATTTTTGTCTGTCTGATTATTTTTGTCTGTCTGACAAATAACAACAAGCAAGGCTGACAATGGCAGCAACATTGCCAGATTTCTGACAATCCATAGTGCCATATGTTGCGAAAAATTTGTCAGATGATGTCTGGCAATGTGATTGCCACTTAACTTACAATTTGACAATCTTCAGTTAAATGTGGGTAATTTTAAGATAGTTAATGGAAAATTATAAAACAATTAAAATCGAATACCAAAAAGACTAAACATTTTTAATAAAGATTTATTTAATATTATAAGAATATCAAAAAAAGCCATTACAAAATTAATTGTTTGTATGAAATTTTTATTTGTATGGTATTTTACATGATTTGTGTCTTGAATAATAAATCATAAAATTCGATTATATTAGTTTGCAATGAGAAATGTAGATGGCTCTTTTTTAGTATTTCCTATTAAAATACTTACATAGATGGCTTATGGCAGAACGGTTGTTCCATAAGCCGGGCTTAAAAAAGATTTACAGGCGTGTCGGTTTGTGCGCATATCATCCAATTTGAAAGACCATTTTCCGAGATGTTGTCTTCTACTTGATCTTGTGGCCTTCACCTTCTGCGTAATCACTTGGCTCGCTTTTATATGCCTTTTGACCTGGGGAATCTTCATCCATCCTCATCTGCTTGCGCAAGTACCCATGCTTCAGATCCATACAACAGTACGGGTAATATCAGCGTCTTGTAGAGTGTGAGTTAGGTCTGGCGAGAGGTGACCTTAGTTTTGAGCATATAGTAGCATCTGTTGGCCAACACTATTCTCCTCCGGGTTTCACAGCTGATGTTATTAGTTTTGTTTTTGGTGGTACCGAAGTATATAAAATCGGCACTTCCTCGAACCTTGCGCGTTGATACCATCAGCTTGCTCTTTTCCCCATTTACTGCAAGGTCCCACTTTGGCAGACTCCTTCTCAATTCGTTTAAAGGTGGCTGGATGGATTCAAGCAGGATGCTGAACAGGTCACAAGACAAACTGTCACCTTGTCTGAATCCTAATTCGGTATTGAAGGGCTCCAAGAGGTCCTTTCCTACTTTAACTACTGACATTGTACCAGTTAAAGTTATCCTGCATAGCCGTATTAATTTTGCAGGAATGCCAAACGCAGACATGACTTTAAACACCTTTTAACGTATAGGGCTGTCGAATGCGGTTTTATAGTCGACGAATATGTGGAATGTGTCGATGTGTTTTTCGTGGGTTTTTTTCAGGATCTGGCGCAGAGTAAAGATCTGGTCAATGGTGAATTTGCCAGGCCTGAAGCCGCATTGGTATGTCGTTGAACATTGGCTTTAGTCGTTCACACAGCACGCTGGATAACACTTTATATGCTATGGGAAGGAGACTTATTCTTCTATAATTGGCACACATCGACTTGTCTCCTTTTTTGTGCACGGGACACAGGATACTGAGGTTCCAATCATTGTGCATATATTCCTCTAGCCACATTGTACTAATGAGCTGGTGCATGTTCCCGACCAGCATCTGACCACAAGTATTGCCATTGTGCTTCTATATTATTATCGGGACAAGGAGAGTTTTTGTCAAGCAGTTGGGTAAGTTCAGCGGAGTAGGCTTTTGCTATCTGTTGCGTTTGCAGCTTTGCATTAAGACGAGTCTGATCCTTGGCTGCTACAGGTAGTGATCCGAATCGATATACGCTCCTCCGATCGATCTTACGTATAAAACACTGGATGAATGCCTTCCATCTATCACAACATGATCGATTTGATTTTTCGTTGTTCTATCGGGGGAAATCCATGTGGCCTTGTGTATATCGAGATGCCAGAATCTGGTGCAGCTAACTACCATGTTTTTGCTTCCGCGATGTCAATCAACCTCATACCGTTCAGTTTTTTGAGGGTTTTCAATTTGAATTTGCCCAACGGCTTAGTCAACATATCTGCAATCATATCAGCCATTGGACAGTACAGATATTCTGTGGCTATGTTCTATATGTTTGCAGCGTGTATTAATTTTCTCAGAGTGTATATATTTTGAGACAGCTTTTATAGTCTTCGAATTTTAAGTGGCTTTTCGTCAAGATCAATTTCCTTTAGCAATTGCTGTAACCATATACTTGTGTTGTTCTGCAAGTGAAACTAATTCTGTTTCAGTAAATGAAAGCGACACAATGTTTTGCTTTGGGCTGGCATAACTAATAGTAGCTTGTCCATTTTTGAACAAATATCCACTAGTTGACCTGCGATCTATTTTGTCGCCGGCCCAAACGACATCTGCATATCCTGACAACATTAGGTCTTCGTCCCTGTACAAATCTTTTTTACAACGAATCTCTTTTAGGTATTTTAATTTGCCGTTCATGTTATTTTAATCATTTTTGGTGGTTTTCTTACTTTTCGCTGGTCTGGAGTTACCAGCCAAGTAAAGTAGAGAACCAATAGACATGCGATATCTGTTGTCGCTTTCCAATAGATCTTCAGATATTGTATCTTTAAAGTATCCTGTATATATAGGGATATGTTTGTTTAATCAATGCCATATTGACTTGATGATTTTGTCAATATATCTTGTCTATGATATATAAAATAATCCTGCATTATCTCTTGATACCTCCATCCCAAGATACAATTTAAGTTCTCCCATATCCGTTGCTTTGAATTTTGATGTTATATAAGATATAACCTCATGCACAGTATCATCGCTTTTTTCCGCCACAAGTATATCATACGCGTACACAGGATAAACATATACGTTATTACCATACACTTCCTTTACGACACTTCCTTTTTTACCTTTTGGCAATTCTACTAAATCCCAGGTGTTATTATTGTACATGGACTGCATTTCATCTTTCATCGCAAGAATTCACTTATCTTTCTATGGATGCTTCATAATTTCTTCGTATGATTGTGGTTCAGCTTTTACTGTTGTCAAATTAGCATCAAAACGTTTTGGCTTCTTACATTTTGTAGACCTCGATGAAAGTATTTTTGCGATAACAGCTTTTTCATCTTCAAAATTAGTTGTGTAGCTTGCAGTGGGACCATGATGTTACTAATTACTGCAGACTCTGTGACGGTGAGGAGGAGACGGAGACTATTGCAAATCTCCTGTGATTACAGGAGATTTGCATATCTCTTCTTGGATGATCACAATGGACCGGTCTCCCAGTGCTGCAGTCACAGTTAGTGACTGCACATCCCCAAACCTAACCTATGTAGTCCACAGGTTATGGAATGCATTAAGGTAAATAGTTCTGGATTAACTACCAGCTTAACTCTTCGATTTATTATTGAATTCTTTAGAATGTTGATCTTCTTTATGTTCTCGATCCTCTTTATTTTTTGCGACCACTGCTTGGCGGACCGAAATTTTAGCTTTCTTTATTTTCTTGCCTTTTACTTGGTGCCCCTCTAAAATAATCTACATAACTACTTAAGAGCTTTTAGGTCGATTAAATGCTATCATCATAAAGCTTTTCAGTCACAAGCACACACACGCACAAAGTTACTGCTAAAAAGTCCAACAACAAATTCCCAAACATTACACAATCACATTCACCACAACGTTGCGAGATAAAAAACCAACAGAACAATGATAGGCACAGCCTTGGTTTTTACGTTCGTAGAGCCGTCGTCGTCATCAGAACGTAGTAGACATACAAAGCGTAGCCATAAAAAACGAGGAACCTCAAGAAGACGAAGAACGTATGTATGTAAGCAACTTTATAGCCCAACCACTTTGGGAAAGTACAATTTTGCATTGAGGAGTTTGAACGATTGCAGATGCAATGATTTCGTTGATTAGCAAGCAAAACCAGACAGCACAACCTCGCCGATCCAAAAGTCAATACAATAACGAGTTTAATGCCGGGCTCTATGTACGAATGGAACGTCTTGGACCTACGTATGCTTGTATGCGATAGATTCATTAGCTGATTGGCCTCCGATCACCCAACGTAATACAAACAAACCAGTCGGCCGCCAGTCATTCCAAAATCGCTTTAAAAGCTTTTTCCCCCCATTGATCAAACGATGTAGTGAGGCGAGCTAAGTCATGTTTTGGACGAATCTACGAACACCGCCGCCGAGCACTCAAGCAAAGCAACCAGAGCCAGTCGAGAGTTCGAGATAGCCGAAAACGAGAGCTGCCTTCAGCGTAGAGCCGGAGACCCATATTTAGTCGTTTGTTGTTGTTGATGTGAGAAGGTTGTGTGCGGTGAGTTAGTGCCGTGACGTTCTTCACAAAGCGTACATCCATTCGTTCAACGTTTAACCGCTGTGAGATACGTTGTTTTTTTATATATTTACTGCGTTATCATTGTGTGGTTGTTGTTGCAGTGCATTATACATACAGACATATACTGACTGGTGTATTGCTGACAGCGGCGTAAGTGTGTGTGTTAGGCTAGCTGTGTGTATTCTCAATTAAATGATCAGCTCTGTGCGGAGCTCTACGTAGTATTTATTGTTGTTGGCCAAACGAGAATAAAACTTAACACGACATACACATTCCAAGCTAGAAACCTCTCTGGCAGGCCTTTGGCATTTTCATTCCTCTAGACAACCCGCGAACCAGGTAGTCCGTCAGTCCAGACAATTGTAAACAAAACACCTGTTGCAAAGAACAACAATAAAACAATGGCAAATTACCCAGCAAATTTCTGGGATGAATACAAGACCCGCAATACTTTAGGTCTGAACGAGCGTGTGCAGGTCATACGCGTCTATGACTCATATATCAACAAACCTACCTATCAAAGCATAGCCACCAAGTTCGGTTGCAGTGCCAAACAAATCAAAAATATCATCGCAAATCGTGCAGCGATCTTGCGACAATACGAGGAGGCCAGTCACAGCAAAAATGGTATTCAACCCCGCACTGATATCGTTCAGAAGCGCCAAGAGAAAATTGAATTTCTCGGCAAAGTCATATACGAGTACATTCAGCGGGCGATGTATCACGGCCAGCCGATTGACGACGATCATGTACGCCAGAAAGCTTTACAGATCAAAGAATGCATAGCTGTGGAAAATTTCCAACCCAACCGATCGTGGTTGGATGATTTTAAGACGACGTACGGTATACCATCGTTCGATATGGAAACTCTGCGTAATAATGTTCAAATAACGGAAGTTAAGCGACCCCATTTCAATGTCATCGATATGATACAGTATGTCAGTCGCTTGGAACAGGAGGAACAAAGGTTGGTAACGAAAAAAAGAAAATTACCAGAGGCAAATGATAATGATGAAGGTCCAGCATCATATATGTTGGAACCCACAATTGTTTATGAATCCGTTGATGATGATGATGACATTCAGGAGGTACAAGTTATCAATGGCCGTGAACAATATCAATTGGAAATACCGACGCCGCACAATCCTAAACCAGCAAAGAGATCACGACCTTCAAATGTTCTTACAAACTCAGATGAACCATTTCCCGATATTGAATCTGCCGATGTAGCTTTGAAACATTTGAAAGCTCTTGAGGAGTATGCCATGTTAAATGATAATTTCCGGGCCATCGGTTTACTAACACAATTGGAGGAGATTTTCAAAAAGCAAGGAAAGAAATAAAGAGATTCTGGAAAATTTCAGGTGCACCAGAATTGTGATATATGAAGAAGAACATAAAAAACTATCAGTAAGATATTATGGGGGATTTTAATGTATTTTTTACATATGACTTCTAAAGTAGTATGGCCAACATTCCAAAAACAAGATATTTTTAGTGGACACATTGTTTTAAATGTGTCTCAGTCCATCTCAAGGTGATTGAAGAAAACAATTCCATTTTATGTTATGTGTTAAGTTTTTACATTATATACTAGATAGTTATAAGTACATATGATAATAATTTACCCTATTTATTTTAAGATATTTCTATACTAAAATAAATTGATATAAGATTTTAAAAATAAATGTCCAAAAGATGTATCCAAAAGTAATTATAATTATTGTTATAAATTGAAATAAATTATATCAAGATAAAGACAGTAACATAGTCGGATGGTAAAGACTATATGCGGTATGCAAAATTTGTATTCGTACACCCTTTAAAAAATTAAATTTTCAAAGTATTCAATCCAATAAACAAATGGTCTGTTCAAGAATCTACTTATTTTGCAAGAATCTACTAATTTTTTGTTATCATAGTAACAAATAGTAAATTCTTGTAGTACGGGAACAGACCAAAATTTTATATAGATTTCTTATTTTTATGAAAAAAAAACAAACTTATGTATACCAAATTCATTATTCAGCCTCTAGATGGCGAAATTTTCATATTATGGATTATCAAAAACGTATTCGTACAGAGGAGCAAGGTCCAAGGTGCATTCTAATAAAATTTAGTATTTTGTTGGATATCAGTTTTTGTTTTATGACCGCACTTGGATGCCTGGCATGGATTCTAGTCTAGTTTGTAGGTATTTGATTCCGTTCAGTTTTAAAACTATTTTCATGTCCTTCACGTTGCTAATGCTATAATGTTGTATACTATTTCTTCAAAATTGACCACAAATTCTAAAAAGGATAAAGATCTGGACTCTCAGCGGATTTTATGAGGTATTTGGAACAGTTAGTTTGAATGTGGGAATAAATTTATAACGACATAAGCTCATGTTGTTGTCTTGCCAAATATGTACGTGTTCATCTGATATTTTAATACAGAATTTGGACTCATCAGTCAAAAACAAATTTTCAGACGTTATAATCCTTATTTTGGTACTTTTTGCAAAAACAACCATTTTTTGTTTATTAAAGACGATAATAAATAGTTCTCTGCATACAGCATACCGACTTTTAAATCCAGTTTTTCTAATGTTTGAGGTGTAACACGAATTCCCGTTCCAAACTTACAGCCGGTTGTACGCCACTTACAGATGGATCGATACGGATTTGACGACGTAAAAATAAACGGTGTCTTCTTGAGAACTTGGAATGGTTTAAATTTCGTCTCGCTTTTTTAAAATTTGCTAATTGTTATAAATGGATGCGATACATAGCATGGTTCAATTATAAAAGGTAACAGCAAATCCCAGCTGATTTGATTCCAACGTAATACTAGTGTCAATATGAATTTGACAAATTATGTTTTTAAAAATCACCCAACAGGAAAATTGGGAACGCATACAATTTTAAATTGTTCTTTATTAAATGTGCTCCCGTATTCAATTTACTCAATCTGCCTGCTGGGAAAGTTTGAGGAAGCAAATCTTTCTTCAAGGAATAGCTCGCTATTCCCAGCATTTTCATATGTGATACACATATATATGGCAATGGCTCAATTATAGGAAAAATGTGGAAGCGATAGAAATATAAATTTGATACATTTTCATTCATGTTTTTCAATATTTATTTTGAGTATTCGAAAATATTTCATTTTCAAAATAAAAATAATTTGATGATAATTTGTTTGTTTACATTTTTCTGTCAAATGAGTTGACACTAGTAGAACTTGCAACAACAAATTTCCATGTGGTTGTTATATCGTTTTTTGTACAACAACACTTGATGTTACCTTCTATTATTATACCATGGATACATAGTATTGTAGGAACTCAAAAAGTTCACTTGATTTTATTCCCATATCGAGTTTCCTGAACTTTTTTGTAAAACGACATACACATTAGAACTTTTTACCGGGTTAACCTACTTTATGAGGATTTATTTGACAGATATGCAAAGAAATTGACAGTTGAAACCCACTGGGTTAACGAAGTCCTGTTAAATGTAATTGTAATGAACTTGATATATTTTGATAGTATAGTCCTCAACAATAAACAGGGAAGAAACACAGAAATGTTATTTGGTTCATATATCCTGTTAATTACAACAATAATATAGCTTTGTCATCTGTACGGGTTTTGTTACCAATATAATGAAAACAGCGCCATCTAAATTTTAATTGACGAAAGAGTATGCCACATTTTCTTGTATCGTTTTTTTCATGTGTTCTAATTTCATACATTTTTGGATTTTTAGACTACACATTTTGGATTATTAATGAATATTAGGTCCATCATGGGTGTAAGAATGATACCTTTTGTTAAGTATCACGGAAGCTCTCAATGTACTGTTTGGGTGCATTTTTAAAAGCGGAGGAAAAACGTAGCTTTTCCTTGGGGCTTGTAATGTCAGAATAATAATAAATAAAATATACAAAATTAACCTATAGACTTGTACTTATTGATTGATTCCAAAAGAAATCTTGATACTGAACTGTCTGCAATTCGAAATACCAACCTATTATTAGCAGGTCTCCACTACCATTTCCATATGTACTTTCTACCGGTTATCGATTAAAATCCAATAAGACACACTATTTGTTATCATTTCAATGTGAATTGCTGTAACTGTTATATGTAGACAAGTTTTGTGGAAGACAGTTCAACGTCAAAAAAAATGTCAATAAAAACAAAACAAAGTAGTAGTTTGCTGACTATACCGAGTAAAAAATAAACTGAAAAATATAGCAATAAATAGAGGAGAATACAAATATAATAAGGAAGATTTCGGCAATTAAACCTAATTAGAAATTGAAGATCTAGCAAAGCACAAAATATGTTTTCCAAGAAATGAAACAACAAGGAAACTAGGAAGGGGCTACCAGAACTATTATACTTAAAGAAAAAAAGAAACCATAAACCACCTGAGACACACACACACCCGTTTGTCAGTCAGTCGATTGTTGTTGTCATTGGAATGAGGTTGTAAGTTACAGCTCTGGTCGTGTGCCGGTTTATCTTCATTTTGACATACATATTCATGAATGAATGGCATTGTTGCTCTTGTAACAGTGTAGACTAACATTGGAGATTGTGGCTGAACAAAACAATAATAAATTTACTCCAAAACAGCAAGAAAATCCTGAAAATCACACGAAATAAAAGCAATTCATTTTGGAAGCAAATTCGGACTGCAATCAAACATGAATGCTGTTCTGCGACCATTTTGCAATTGCCGCAAATGTGGCAAGTTAAAAGTCAATCAACGTATTGTCATCATAAAGGAATACGAATCATCACGTTCCAAGAAGCCCAGTATTAAAAGTTTGGCAACCAAATATGATTGCTGCTTTTCGGAAATCAAGAAAATTCTATTGAATCGTGCCTCCATACTTGCAGCCTATAAATCAATGGGCAGCAGTGCCCGCAATATTGAGCGTTTACAAATTCAACAAAGAGAATTAGCTGATTCTCGTGCCCTGGAGCGTCGAGAAAAAATTTCGTTTCTGGGCAAAGCAATGTTTGAATACATCCAACGTGTAATGTATGCCAACTATAATATCGATGACGAGAAAGTCATTCAGAAAGCTTGGGAATTTAAACATCAAATTAATGTGGACTCTTTTGAACCGGATCAACGATGGCTTTTGAATTTCAAACGTATGTATGGTATATGGTCATTCGATTTAAAAGCACTGCGGAAAAGTATACGCTTAACAGAGGCCAAGGAACCACATTTAAGTACCACCAATATAATTGAATATGTTCGGAGAAGAGCGACTTATAATCAAAATAATGGCGGTATGGCCATAGCATCAACAAATCATAGTATTATCAAAAGCAATAATGGTATCAAGCGATTTGATATTGTTGAAGAACATATACTACCCGACCATGAATCTCAAGCAGAAATGCCACAACAATATTCACCACCCGATGACAATTTACTTGAACCAATAGATAACTGCAATTCGGAACCTACAATAGTCTATGATAATGCTGAAGATGACTCGGACGATGTTATTCCCAATGGTGTACTACAAAACAGCAGTATTATCATTACAGAAGAAAATTTCGCCACAAATATAACACCACCAACGTGTCAGCCAGTCAGCACCACCAAAAGAACATCAAAATTGGCCAGTATTGAATCGGTCGAGGAGGCCTTAGAACATTTAAAACTTCTAGAAGAATTTGCTATGCTGGAAGATAATTTCCGGGCTATAGGCTTGCTAACACAGCTGGAACAATGTTTCAGTAAGCAGCCAAACAACACCGCATAAGCTGTTGGAATCTCGTAAACTAGGACAAAAACGAAATTGTAAATACTCAAAAAGACAAAAAAAAAAAAAAACATTGTAGCAGCTGGCTGCATCCGATGTTAAGAGAAATGTCAATTACCATTAATGAATTCGTTGAGTTCTAAAGAAGGGTTTTATTCTAGATCGAAATGGCAACAACCATTATATACCAATCCGTAGACATTTTACAATCTAGACCATAGTCTGATATTTTAAGTCCTATTATAATATTTAGTTGTTTAACTAAAATTTTAAAATTGAAATTACACTAACCTAAAATATGAAATGTAAATATGTAATTTTATGAATACATTTTTTTGTAATTGTTAGATATTGAACAAAATATAATAAATAAGACAAAACATTCCCAAATAATGGAAATCTTTTGAATATAATAGACCACCTCCTTCCAAAAATAATCAATTTGAATTCATATTCCCAAAATGTTTGTAAACAGAATGATTATACTTAGGGGAGTCTGTATAGGTATAATTTAAGATATTTTTAATAGGTTTTTGTCATGTACAGATTGTATATAGAATACGTTTGTAGTCGACATAACAGGAGGGATCATCATTATCTGGAGAAAAAAGTCTAGGGGTATAGAAAATATTACATTATAAACTTCTGCATCTGTAATGAAGTCTTAAAATTTCTGTGATGCCTCACGTTGACTTGTCTTGCACTTTGTGGTACTGATGATAAAAATTCGGCTCCACAGAAATTGCTTTTAGTGAGGGATTGAGGTCTACCATGGCATAGCCTCTTAGCATGGCAAGGACTTGACAACTAAACCTAAATAAACTTGTTGAGGCGCCGAGGTATCAACAAGGCTCCGTTCTAATACAGTAGGGAATCTGACTGCAAACCATAGAACGCTGATGGGCACGGGGTCGCATGACACCCCACTTTAAGAGGTAGTCCCCCAGACCTTTGAGATTGTTATTTAGGGGCGCCATTTCCGCCTCGTCAGCTCAGGGATCATAGGCACCCGGTAATTTCCTCCGAAACTCTCTCCCTGAGCCCGCTGATTGTCCGCGACTGTTTATTTGTTATTCACAGTTACCTAAAGAATAGTATTGGGCTTCCCACTATCCGCAACCTGTGGACGCGTCCGTTAGCATTCAGCTCTGCTCCCCGAAGGCGGAGCAGATTAGGAGCTCTTAGGCTTATTGTAGAAAAAATTCGAAACTATCCTTGGCCGGGCCCTAAACGAAACTTGTTGCTCTTACCTTCCCTCAATTGCCTAGAATTTCCTCATTCGGCATAAACTACTACTAGAATACTATAACAAATCAATTTTTAATTTTTAAAATACTAGCTTTTCAATTCCACTGTAAAATATAATTAAAAAATTACTTTTAACATGAATCACCCACCACATGCTAAAGCAGAACCTAAAAAAATCCAATACCAAAAAAAATTAAAGCATACTTTCCATACGACAAAGAGTAAAAATAGATACATACACATTTTGTGTTCTTAATTGATCGAAAAAAACAAAAGGGAATTTCAATGAGAGAGAGAGTTGAACCAGCGAGAGGATCTTACAACTTAACGTTGTGTAGTGAGAGTGATTTAGCCAGTTATGAGAGGAAAAAACGTGTTGCGGAATATATTTGTTGTGAACAAAAACAAAAGAGATCTCTGGCATGCCTCTCAGTTGCATTTTACCCACACACACATTTTGACAGTGGCGACGGACGATTGGAAAAGAAAAGTTGGGTTATTTGGACATAAATTTGTATAAACACAAACGGAAATAAAACACATTAATACTGATATTTTTGTGATTAAAACGCGGTATCGAAAACTCCCCACCGCCAACACCACCTGCTGTTGATCACTTTTCTTTTTATTGTGGTTCGCTGAATTCTGTGTTCGAGATAGCCGCCTGAGTTGTTGGCATTCACAGTGACGTCACAGTGCAACGATCGTTTTTGTACCAGACACACACACACTCATCCCCCCCCCCTAAACCATCTTCATTGATAAATAGCAAAATATAATCAAATTTCATAAATCATACATGAAAAAGAAATATTAAACATAAAGATCCGCTAAAGGAATCCCAACAACAAACTCTTTTGCCGGTTGTTGTTGTAGTAATTTGGGGACGTATGTTCTGTTTCTTAAATCCACATCAATTGCAGACCACAGCAACGTGCCTCCCCATTCAGCTCATTCAGGTTCATTGACTAAAAACAATAACAAAACAGCTGTGAACACCTACAAACATTATATGGCCTAATCCATCTTCAAAACGCGAATTCTTAACTACTAGGGAGGCAAAAACTGCGCTGTTTGTCCTCAGCCACAAAAAAAAAAAAAAAAAAAAAAAAAGAAATAATTTGTAAGGTAAATTTTCTTAAAAAACTGGTTTACTTAGATGGCAATCCCTTCCTCCCTCCTCAAGCCACTTGCAATTGTTAATAACTAAACTGGTTTTTATTTCAGTTCAATTTCTGATGTTGTTGCTGTTTTAAATTTACTGTGGACTTGGACAAGAGGCAACGCACATAACTACTTAACTCGGCTCGATGCTACTTAAATAAATCGCTGCACTGGAGCGGTATTGCTGGTTTTAACAGCGGCTCAGCAATCTTTACGTGTCAGCAGTCATCGCCGTAGTCGACGACGACGTCGTCGTTTCTATCATTCCCAACCAGTTGCTGTTAATGGCATATTTTGGAATTCGAAACTGGTTTTTCGAAAACAAGTTAACCCGGTTTTTGCATATCCAAGTCGGTAACATATCTCACAGCTCTGTTTTAGTTGGACTCGTTTGAAATATCAACTTTTTGTTCATCCGACGATAGTTGTGGTGCTGCCGTTGATTTTGCCATCAGCACGTCTTAAACAACTTTGACCGACCACCAGCAGCAGCAGGCAGGCATACAGACAGACAGTCAGTTTAGTCCGCACATTCATCTAATATGGCTCAGGTGAGTGAGTCGTTTTTTTTTTTTTTGTTTTGTTATAAATTTATTTAATAATTTTATTTATTATGAAGATAATGTGTGTTGTGTTGTAGCGATTTAAAGTATCGGCGCGAAGAAGACAATTTTAGCAAAAAGAAAGTCACAAATATAGCAAGTGCTGTCGTTTTTTGTAGTGTTCTTCGGTAAGAATATGGATAATTTGAAAATATATATCCATAACGGTACATTGTTTAAGCGATGATGTTGAACTGCAACAGAATTGGGTCAACAGAATTTTAACACTGTATAAAGCGTAAGCATATAACAGATCACAATAATGTTGACAGTGAATAATTTTTACTTGGCCCAAGGATTTTTAACCCTTCGAAACATTGGCGAGCATTTTAATTTACAAATTAAAATCGGTGTGGCCGATAGATCAGGACGAAATTAACATTGGAATTTCAACTTATAAAAATTTACAATATGTTGTGTTCACTTGAATTATCTTAGCAAACTCAAAACAATACGAAAGTCTATAATCAGCCCCTAGAAAGTTTAGTATTGAAAATTAAATATATCGGTCCAAGTTTTGGTACATCCCTCATATAATGGTACCCTCCCATTTTCGGGATTTAGAAGGTGTTAGTTAGCTGCACCGAAATTGCAGGGAACGAGGACGATGAAAAAACATTGTGTGGAAAATATTGTAAAAAGATGTTTGTTTTGGTCATAGTCACCATTTCAGGCTACTGGTTTTAGTCACACGAAGTGACCCTAATTTGACATGACCTGTTCTTGCTGCTATATCATTGGCATTATACTTTGTATTATTTTTTAGTTTCAGTGGGGTGCTGGGTCGTGATCTGATAGTTCTAGTTGTATGAATCACTCGAGAGCACTGTCTGATATGTGTACAACTGCATATTCCATGAAGTATAACAGGGCTGGAATAATTTGTCCACTTATCAGCACAACCACTTCTTATGGAGCCACAACAGTCAAAATTTTCGTTTCCACGACAGAGGGGTCTACGATCCGAAACGAGTCTTTCTCAGCCAACGTCTGTCTCCTCAGTCCAATTGTATTAGATATATTCCGAAATCTTGCTGCTTCACTTACTCCCCCAATTGACTCACAGAAGGGCAGCCCTCTTAATTCCATTATTAAATTTTGAACCATGTTTGTTAATACCCCACATTTAAGGTTACCAACCAATATAATTTACAACGGATACTCCTGGAACAGATGTTGCATTAGAATCCACAAGTATTATCTTTAAAAAATTTTGTTCCTTACATGTACGATTAATGTTGATATAACACGTTAATTCCCAAAACATCGCAAATACCGCATGACAATTTGATGTATAATTTTCTTTGCTAGTATTACACATTTAGCTCCTTCCTTTTTTCTACAGTCGACAAATATAAAGATTCCCCAATTTCATATTGCACAAAAAAAGGCGACAATTTTTGAGATTACTTTTTATTGGGTTTAACATTCAATGCCAAATAGAATAGAATTAAAAATTTATAAATATGTAAATATATGTATGCATATGTATGTATGTATATAAAAATTAAAAATGTTAACGTATAAAAATGTAGATGCGCAAGTATGATTTGTTTATGAACCGCAGGACATACAGGCATCCTTATTTTCCAATGAGCACACCATTTCGGCCATTCTCTTTTCACGTTCAGCTGCTTCAGCATCTTCTTTAGCCGGCGATGCTACTCCATTCTGTTTTTCACCATTTGTGGTGGCGGCGGCAGCAACTGTAGAAGCCACACGGCTACGATCCACTGTAAACTGAATAGCATTAGCCGCCGGTTTTGTTCTTAGATAATACATGCCGGTTTTGAGACCCGCCTTCCAGGAATAGAAATGTATCGATGTCAATTTGCCATAATTAGGCTCCGCCACATGAATGTTAAATGATTGACTTTGATCGATAAATGCTCCACGATCCGCGGCCATTTTTATCGTTGTCTTTACAGAAATTTCCCAAACCGTCTTGTAGAGCTCTCTAATTTCCTTGGGAATCTCCTCGATATTTTGTATGGAACCACGACTTGAGATAATTTTATTTTTCATTTCTTCATCCCATAAATCAAGTTCGGTCAAATCCTTAAGCAAATGATGATTGACAATGTTGAATTCACCCGACAGAACACGACGGGTATAAATGTTGGATGTGTAGGGTTCGAAGGCTTCATTGTTGCCCATAATCTGGGCTGTAGAAGCAGTCGGCATGGGTGCTAACAGCAAGGAGTTGCGGACACCATGTTTGGCAATTTTTTCCTTCAATTCAGCCCAATTCCATAGGTCGGTGGGTACTTTGTTCCACATGTCGTATTGGAGAATACCTTTGCTCACTGGACTGCCAGGATAGGTTTCATAGGGGCCATCCTTCTCAGCCAGTTCACAACTGGCCTCCAAAGCTCCATAGTAGATGGTTTCAAAAATCTGTTGATTAAGTTTGTAGGCCTGCTCACTTTCATAGGGATAACGCATCAGGATGAGAGTATCGGCAAAACCTTGTACCCCAATACCAATGGGGCGATGTCTCAAATTTGACTTTCTTGCTTCTGGCAGTGGGTAGTAGTTGATGTCAATGATTTTGTTGAGATTGCGCGTAACAACCTTGGCCACATTCTTCAGTTTCTTGAAATCATATGTCTTCTCGGGAGTCACAAACATGTTGAGGCAAATGGAGGCCAAATTGCAAACGGCTATCTCATCGGGTGCCGAATATTCAACAATTTCTGTGCACAGATTACTGCATTTGATGGTGCCAATATTCTGCTGGTTGCTCTTGCGATTACAGGCATCCTTGTACAGCATGTAGGGTGTGCCGGTCTCCACTTGGGCTTCAATAATGGCAAACCATAGCGCCTGCGCTTTAATTGTTCTGTTGGCTTTACCTTCCTTTTCGTATTTCTCGTAAAGTTTTTCGAACTCTTCTCCCCAAACATCTTGCAGACCGGGACATTTGTGGGGACACATCAGCGACCAGTCTCCATTCTCCTCTACGCGTTTCATGAACAAATCTGGAATCCACAGGGCATAGAAAAGATCTCGGGCACGGTGCTCTTCCTTGCCGGTGTTCTTCTTAAGGTCTAAAAATTCAAAAATATCGGAATGCCATGGCTCCAAGTAAATGGCAAATGCGCCAGGACGTTTACCGCCACCCTGATCTACATAACGGGCCACATTGTTGAATACTCGCAACATGGGCACCAAACCATTGGAAGTGCCATTGGTGCCAGCAATTGAAGTGCCCTTGGCACGTATGCAATGGACATTGATACCAATACCACCAGCTGATTTCGAAATCATGGCGCACTGTTCCACAGACTTGAAAATACCCTCAATCGAATCCGCAACCATGGTCAGAAGGAAACACGATGACAACTGGGGGCGATTGGTGGCAGCGGCGAATAATGTTGGCGAGGCATGGGTAAAGAAACGTTCCGACAGCAAGTTATATGTTTCAATGGCAGCATCAATATCTTCACCGTGTATACCCACAGCAACACGCATCAGCATATGTTGAGGCCTCTCGGCAATTTTTCCATTCATCTTCAGCAAATAGGATCGCTCCAATGTCTTAAAACCAAAGTAGTTATAACCAAAATCACGATCATAAACAATGGCCGAATTGAGGCGTTCCGAATTCTTCATTACAACATTGTAGTGGAACTCCGATATCATGGGTGCCGGCTTTCCCGTCTCATCACTCACATAATGGTGCAGATCGCTAATCACCTCCGAGAACACTTTCTTTGTCTCCTTGTGTAGATTGGATACAGCAATACGGGCCGCCAACAGAGCATAATCGGCATGATTAGTTGTTAGAGTGGCGGCCGTTTCCGCAGCCAAATTATCCAATTGTTGTGTCGTCACACCACAATACAAGCCGTTGATCACCCGTAAGGTTATGGCCACGGGATCAACAAAATCCATATTCAAGCCATAGCAAAGCTTTTGGATGCGTGATGTGATCTTATCGAAATGTACTTCCTCTTTGCGGCCATCTCGCTTAACCACAAATAGTTTCTTCGATTTCATACTGTTAACCATATTGTTCGATTGGTCAATACTTTGCTGAATACTTCTTGTTTTCGTCTATTTCACAATGTTCTCGGAATGTAAGGGAGGCAAAAACAAAATATAATACAAATAAATTATATAAATGCAATGAAAACCAGTAGAAGAATAGAATCCCTTGTAGCGTCGACTTCTGTTTGTCGACACTCGACGACAATACTGAATGTTTGATATAGAACACAAAAAGTCAAGCAGACAGCCGCCTAAATGCACCAATACATTGCAAAAATTGGGATAAATTTGCGCCAAAAAAAGCTTCAAATCCAATGTGAGTTGCCAGTCGGCGGTGTACTAAACAACCTATACAGAGTTGTTTTAGTTGTCAAATTCGACACGAATATCTAAGCAAGCTCAACGATATGGCAATATTTTTTTTTGGCAAAAACAGATCAATGTTTTGATTTGTTTGTCTCAAAACAGAATATGGAAACGTTTGCTGTATGTATGTTTGTGTGTTTGTGCCGACATGTTTGCAAACCGGCATTTTTAGTAAATGCGTCAATAACGAAAGTAGTCAGATTTTAAGGTGTCGTAACAATGACGTATTGTCGATACGTTGTAAATGCTGGCTTAAAGCTACTCAGGGGACTTGCAACAACTCTAGTTTAGTAAAAACGATTAGATTTTTCTGAAAAATTTTCCAGAGGTAGGTATTTTTACCCTAATTATGGGGATATCTTTTTTTTCTTGGGGGACTTACCCGGTTATTTGACCCGGAAGTTCGGGTACGGGTATCCGGTTATATCCGGTTCTACGGATCCGGTTAATATAACATGGGTATCATTTTAAATGTTATAAAAATACCTTTCCATTGAGTGGTAATATGACTATAATGGACCCAAGTTCGACTTTAAGGGAGTTTTCAAAAAAAAACCGGATATAACCGGGTACCCGTACCTGAACTTCCGGGTCAAATAACCGGGTAAGTCCCCCAAGAAAAAATATATCCCCATAATTAGGGTAAAAATACCTACCTCTGGAAAAAAATTTCAGAAAAATCTGATCGTTTTTACTAAATTAGAGTTGTTGCAAGTCCCCTAAGTAGCCGTAGAACCGGATATAACCGGGTACCCGTACCCGAACTTCCGTGTCAAATAACCGGGTACGTCCCCCAAGAAAAAAAGATATCCCCATAATTAGGGTAAAAAATACCTACCTCTGGAAAAAAAATTTCAGAAAAATCTGATCGTTTTTACTAAACTAGAGTTAAGCCGGGGACTTCAAGCCGATTGATTTTTATAATCGATACTCTTGAATATAATTGAATATTATACACATTTTAAGAGGGTGTACATCCATCCGTAACTATCCATATAACTATTTCAAACAAAGCAGTTTGGATATTTTTAAACATATTCGAAACTTATCGTTATACCTGCCAGGTTGCAACAATAAGAAAATTAAAACCGAGTCGCGGATCGTTATGTTCTTTTCTTTTGAAATTCCGTATTTCCTAAGATATAATATGAAAAGCCTTTCGATCTATTTATGCATTTTGAACGCTCTCTACATGCTGAAGTGTATTCAGCCCGGCCGAAGTAGACGATTTACTAGTGAAACTAACAAAAAAGCGGATTATAATTTTTCTGGGCCAATTTATACTACAATATTTGTTAGTTTTCAGCGTACCATATTGCAGGTACCGAAACACAAATAAAATGTTTATATTAGTGTGTCAACATGGGGAATTTTAATATTTATGTGGGGTACGTCGAATTATAAATAACGCTGTGTGTTTTTTTTTTAATTTTTATATCGCACTCTTTTCGTTTTTATATAATATATTGTTTTTATCCGATATTTTTTCTCAATATTTAATATTTTCTTATTTTATTACAGGATTCCGATTTAGAGAGTTATATGGATGGTTATGTAGATGTCGATAATACCGTTATACAACCCAGTCCACAACGCATACGAAATATTCTAACATTAGACGAACGAGTGGCAGCTATCAAGGCCTACAACCAACGACCTATGTACACCAAGGTGGCTCGTATGTTCAATTGCAGTTGGGAACAGATCAAAAATATCGTATCTAATCGTGATGCCATTATGGAATTCTATGAGGCCACCACAAATCCAAAAGAAATTCCCATGGATGTTAAACAGAGAAAGGCAAAATTTCTAAACGAATGTGTCTACGAGTCCATACAACGGATACAGTATCACATGAAACTGCCCATAAGCGAAGAGTTGATACGGCTGAAGGCGTTAGAGTTTCAGGATTTCATAAAATTAGAAGATTTTCAACCGAACAAGAAATGGTTTCTAGCCTTTAAATCGGCATACAATATTTCCTTGGCCAATAAACACATCCAGCTGAATCGTATACCACCCGCCTCAATGGACCTGAGAGATGTCATGGCATATTGCACGAAAAATATGCAAAGCACCACCACAAATGTGGTTCATCTGAAAGATCTAAAGCAAAAATACAGCAGTTTAGATGCAAAAACGGCAGAATATGAGAGTCGTCGTGTGAGGAAATTGCATTTTCTACAAAAAGCTTTAAACGAATATTTACACCGGGCCAAATTTCATTACAAATCTATGAAACTGGACGACAAGGCCTTGCAAATGGTGGCCCAAGAGTTTAATGATATTTTAAAGGTACAAGATTTTCATCCCACCCTATCCTGGATACGAGATTTCAGACAACGTCATGACAGTTCGCAGGACACGAGTCCAGTAAATGGTAAACGGCCTTTGCTGTCGTTAGATTTAAAGGACATACTTAGCTATTGCAGCCGTATGGATAATAAAACCAAAGCATGTACTATTACTCTGACACCGAAAGAACCACCAAATGCCCATACCTTGCAAATGCGTCTGTTGCCGAAATTTCCTAGTGATTCAAAAATCAAGTTACAACAAAGTTCCATTATCTATTTGGATGAGGAAGAGGAAGAAGAAAAAGACGTAAAACCCGATATCAATGAAATTAAATTAGAACAGCAGGTTAGAGAGCCTGATCCGTCACCTCCATTAAAAATTCGCAAAATAGAATCAATTAACAATGATCCTGTTCTACAACATGAATTGCAACAAGAAAAACGAGTCGATACAGAGAAAATGCAAACGGAGGAAAGACAAAAGGAAGCGTCGGTTGTATTAAATAATGACCAAGTCACAATAAAGTTAGAAAGGCACGATGAGGAGGAGGTAGAAGCAAAACGCAGCAGTAATATACCAATGGCGACGAGTATATCTCCCCACAGAACGGTTATAACGTCTACAGAAAGTG